TGAAAATTAGAAATAATAATTCTATTAAAAAAACATTTGGACCGTTAATTTCAATTGTTTTCAGATGGACCCTATTTGCATCTTTAAGATGGATGCTTTATACCTTGGGACCGCATATTGTAGAAATGCGGTCCAGCCTGCATACAACAATTTTCCTTTTCCAATAGTTCATCCTTATCAATTACATTGTAGTGTAACTTAGCCATGGCATATATCTTTATTTAAATACGTGTTACATCCAGGCTAGACACAACTCTAAATTTCAACAACTGGTCTATAACAGCAATGAAATTGTCTTTGTATTTCAACAGACAGTAGCAATTCAACATCGTTTTCATCATCCATGGATACAACTTAAGTATGGATCAACAAAGAGTAATTACAGATAAAAAGAACACATTACCCAGACAACAAACGCTGTTTTGATCCAAAAATGCATGTGAAATTGTCCACTAAAAAACATGTCACTATATAAACCGGTGAATCAAAATATTGGATAAGATCAACGATTTTAACACATACCAACACTTTTAGGACCTCAGAATCCAAGCCTCTGAGGGAATCAAGGTACTGTAACTTTTTATCCTTTATGTTTATTACTGCCAAACACCAGTGTATCTCCTTATGAATCGGAACAAATATCTGGACAAGCAAAAAATGAAAAAATATTCATTACAGATATTCTTGAAAAACAATATATTGCACGCAATAAAAAATAAACATAAGATTAAAAAGAGCAAGAAATAGAAAGGGCATAACAACTTTACTTTGTCACACTCAATAAGGTCGTACCCTATCTTCCTTTGGGTTGTCCATCTTCTGACTGCTTTATAGTCATAACCACTTCTCCCACTGATAAGCTGAAACCATAAGCAACTAGGTTAAAGACGAACTGGCTGCAAAGAACATCTAAATGGACTAAAACAAGAACAAAAAGATGCATAAATCTATGCGTAAACGAGAACAAATGTGCACCCATTTGTCTGTCATTGTAACGAAACAAGACCCAAGACCCTGAAAGATCAAGTAGAGATCTCGATAGAAATACTTAGCATTTCCATGGACATGACTGGAGATGACTAATGAGAAATAACAAAATAAGTATAGCTTTTAAATAGACCCCATTTATTGAACTGAATAACTGTGCGACTGAGTTTAGCGTCTATTATTGGATGATAAAAATGGTAGAACAGTCAAGCTTGATACAAAAATTAGAACAAAGGTAGGAACTCTTTACCTCCCACTTTTCATCCTCGGAACCTCATTCCAACATGACATGCCAAATGCCTTGTTAGCTTCCCTATGAGCATTTAGGAATGAATTCTACAGAGCTCAAGCAAACCCAAGAGTATCCATTATCACATCAGGAATCCTGAGCAGTCCAGAGGAGGCAGGTATTCACATTACAAGTTACAAGCTATGAGACCTAGACATAGCTATGGATACGCTCAAGTAAACCCAAGAGTATCCATTATCACATCAGCAATACTGAGCAGACCACAGGAGGCAGGTATTCACATTACAATTTACAAGCTATGAGACCCAGATATAGCTATGGATATTGCTTCATCTCTTTCCATAATTCCAAATATCTTATGGAGTATCAGAAACAAATACATGACCATCTCCAAGTATTTATGCACCATAAGTCAGAAAAGTCTAATCAAGTGATCAAAGAACCAGAGAAAGCAAGAGAATAGATATCGAGATGAGTGTTATAAAAGGCAGATTCAGTTCCCTTGGCAGCAAAGGGTCCTGGCCACCTATGCGGGCACCAAGAAACCTTGGCGGTCCAAAGAGAGATGAGGGAGGTTTGGGCCAAAACTCAGATTCTAAATACTTCCCCTCATTCAAATCAGGAGAGATTCATCATCCATCTCTAAAGGAATTAATCTAAGGGTGGTCATCAACTCCCAGGTTCCATCATCAACGAGTTAAGTTTCCCTTCCAAACAAGTAAATGTGCATTCCCCAACAAGTAACCTTTCGTTCCCCAATCCTACAGCTGGTAAAGTATGGACTCTATGGCCTCACGTGGCTCAAATCTAATAGAGATCTGTCTTACTTTTTAAAGCTTCATAGTACATCACGTAGATGGTTTAGTGACATGGCCGGGATTTAAAGCACGGGCTTTTCTCTCACAAAATAAATAAATAAACAAAAATCTTCTTCTTCAATAGTAAATGTTTCTCCCTCTAATGCCTTGCAGTATACCACGTGGATGGTTCGGTGAAGTGGTACTCTGTAGACCACGTGGATCTAAAGCATGGGCTTCTCTCTTACCAAAAAAAAAGT